TAGTGGACTATTACTTCTACCGCTACTACAAATTTTATTATTATTATTGAAAATTAAAAATATTTTTATATTTTTTTATATTAAATAAAAAGAATTAAAAATAATAAGAAGATTAACTATTCCGTAAGCACAAGACGACCGCTGTGAGATTGACGATGAGGATTATTATCCCAATCGTAATTCCAATGCCCAGACCGATTTTCTTATATTTATCCGGGTCTAATTATTATTATATTATTATTAATATATAATTATAATTATTATTATGTAATTATTAATATATAATTATAATTATTATTATATTATTATTATTTACCATATTATCCAATGATAATGGTGATAATAATAATAATAATAGTGAAAATATTATTGATAATAATGATATAAATTTAACCGTCTGAGTGTGCAGATTCACCTATTATTATTGTAATCGTTGATAGTGTTAATATTATTTATTATAATTAAAATTACCATAATAATAATAGTAATTATAATAATTATTATTATTATTGTAAACTGACCTTCAGGTTTGGGGATCTGATTGCCTATTAAATAAAAATTTATTGAAGTTAATTAAGACCGTGAAGTTGGCTATGCATATTATTACCATTATTATTATTATTATAAGTATTGCAATCATTCTTAATTTATATAGACCTTACTTAAGTAATAACGATGAAATGAAACTCACAATCGTTATAAACGATGACCGAACTACTATTTGCAGCTCTATATGTTCCAGAGGTGATGACATTAGAAGCAGTGCATGTGCAATTATACGTGCCATTCTTAGTTAAGGTTGTAATATTAGTACCTGATGTGACAGGACTGTTGCTGCTGCTACTACTTCCATCATCATCTTGTGGAATGCATGAGATGCTATATGTTGGCAGTGGCACTCCAACCCCGTTGCAAGTTATCGAACGATCGACGCATGTATGAGTGCTGTTGAGTTTAACATCTGTAACAGGCTCTGGAGGGTTTTTCATTAAAAAATATTCAACTTCCAAACAAGCCTTGCTCTACTTACTGTAAGAATAGCTTTTTCAAAAGCAAACAACAACTTTGCCCATAATCAAAGCAGGTAAATTTAATTATGAACCAAAGCAAGCATCAAATTATTTTATTCTTTTTCTTTCTCTCTCTCCCTCTCTCTCTTTATTGTTTGTACAACTTTGCAAAAATTTTACGGGACATATCATTGTTCGTCTTGATTTTGATATAAATTATTAAAAAAAAATAATCCACTCACTGTAAACTTTAACTGGTTTGGTGTAATTGAATCTTGCTTCATATAATGCTAGATCTGAATTTTTCTTAAAAGACCACACGTACTTGAAGTTGTTTGTGGCTCTGTAATCAGCTGGAAGAGTTGTACTAATATAAAATGACGTTAATTTTGAAACAACATTGAAATCAGCTTCGAAGGAACCAATCGGATCCTCTCCATTGAATATCGTAATTGTGTTTGGAGAGGCTTGTGAAGCACCCATGTAATAGCTGCCAGAAATGTCGATTGTCATGTTCTGCCCATCCATTAAAGTCTCTGGAGTTATGACCATCTCCAAATCTTTGTCTCCAAGAAAAAATTGTTTAGTTAGCAAATTATTGACAGCAGACATATATATTACACTGCATCTAGTTAGAAAAAACGAAAATATCTAACAGTTCTTATCTTTCATAAATCTATATAAAACAATTACCTTTAACAATGAGAAGTTTCACTATGTTATTGTCTGTGTAGCACATAAATGTTCCAGCTGCTTCTTTAACTGCAGTAAAATTCTGTTTAAATTTTGAACTCTGAACTTCTGTTGCCATCCAAACATTACTTGCACAACCTTCCCTGGACCAACTGACCCATGCACCGCTGGTTGTAAACAACACATCAGGTGAAACCTCTGCCAGACATGCTGCAGAAAAAGTTGTTTAAGGCAAGAAAAGTTAATAAAAAATTTTTAATTCTATTTTAAATTAAAAATTAAATAAAACTTAAAAAAAAGATTGTTTTCAAAGGTGACTCATTGATTGACAATAACATAACATAATTGAATAATCTAATTGTGGTGTCTTTTGTTAACAACACAGTTTAATCGTAAGCTTAAATTTTATGAATTTTTAATAATTCAGCTTTTTTTCAAACATATATATATATATATATATATATATATATATATATATATATATATTTGATTTATATTTATCCCGGTGTTGGTTCGTAATGAATTGTTCGTGTCAAACAATTGTGCTCGATGAATTTTATCCCGCTAATCCAATCGAAACAGTTACAAAATATCTTAAGAAATAAATTTTTTGCCAAATTTTTTAAATTTCAAAGCGATTTCACGTTTTTTGTATCTATTTTGGCGCCCCTTACTCTCCGGGGCCCGGGGCAGCCAACCCCTTGCAGTGTAAAATGCCTTCCCTTCTCAAGAAATATTATACAAAAAGAACTTTATAACCATCAAGTATCAGTTAAGCGAAAGATCATGATACATTCGCATTAATTCGCACGTATTTATGATAAATCACGACGCCTGGAGTTTGTTGCTGAATGAAATCTCTTGTAAGTGATGACGTATGTCGTGACGTTGAAAATTTTGAAAAGATTATTAAAATGGAACCGTTAATTATGTAGATCTCTACTTAAAATATACTTCGTCAAGAAATTACATACACACTTTCAACACACCGATACAAAACTTGAAAAGATTTCAATAAAGTGAACACATGGTAACCTTTGAAGCCTGTTGAAACCAGCAACAACATTGAATAACTAAAAATCAACATCTTCGACATGTTTAAGACAGTTATTATTTGATTTAAATAGAATTTTAAATTTAATTGTAAAATAATTCATTCAGATATTTTTAATTTTGAAAAAGGAAGTGCACATGTTGAAATATGCGTATTTAATCATAGTACCATGTTAATTGTTTAGCTCTGAAGCCAATTATTTTGTGAAGCTAAAGTGAAGGAATGAATAAACAAATAGAGGAAGAAGTGAATGAGTGAATGAATGAGTGAGTAAATGAATGAATGAACAAACGAACGAATGAATGACGAAGCTAGCCATAGCTCTGTGATCACGGTTTGTAATTAATTATAATGTTGGATCCGGATAAATGTAAAAAGTCCAACTTGGGCAAGGTGTATTATCATTATTGCCAAAAGTAAATTCAAATTTTCAGAGCTAGATCATGGTAAATCGAGTTGAGCTATCGAGAATATCTGAATTTTTTTTTTAATTTTAAAACTACTACTTCTATGGTGGCTATCATTACTACTACTGCTGCTGCCACTACTACTGCTGCTGCCACTACTACTACTGCTGTTACTGTTATCGATACTCCAGCTATTATTGCTACTGCTACTACTACTTAGGTGTGTTTCAGTACATGCGTGTAAAAGAGTTAACTCTAACTCCTCATTAAGATAACTCTCAGCTAACGCTAACTTATGTGCTCGCCTTTAATACACCAAAAGACCTCGCTCCCCAGAGCCTAACTAGTTGTCTGACTCCTACTAACCAGTCAGTCGCTATTGTATGTCACCTCGTCCTTATTACATTATATGTGTGTTCTAATTAATGATACGTTATATTATCATATATTAGGCTGCTTTATGTCTGTAAATTTGCTGTCTTGTGAACTACTTTTATAACTTACTATCGTTATGATTACACACATACTTTAGCACATCTCTCTCTCTCTCCCTCTCTCTCTCTATATATTTATATATATATATATATAGGGTGTATACAAGCTATATTCACTTATAGGGGTACCTCGTAATCTATATAATCCAGAGGTGGACATGGGTTGGGTTAACCCATGGGTTGGGTTGGGTTGGGTTGGGTCCAAATTTTTTAAAGTTGTGTGGGTTGGGTTGAGTTGAAATTTTCAAATTTTATTATAAATAATTTATTTCTGTATTTTTTTTATTCTTAAACGAACATTTTAACTAGTTAATAATCGGTGTATTTTATATCGCTGTAATATTATTGTATCTTTGGTCTATCGTTTCCACTTTCTTTTTGTGATTATTGAGTTGAGCAAAAAGTAACTTCTTTCCGATCGAGAAAATTAGTTTTATTTACAAGTATGGCAGAATCAGAAGGAATTCAGCGTCATTTGAGAGGTTTGTGTGATTTAAATTTGCTAAGTTTGCGAAAGTAAAAAATCTAATAAATTTCACATTAACATTTTTACATTTTTTATGTTTTATTCCTTTAAAGATTTAATTGTTATTTTTCATAATTTCAAATCTCTTCAGTCTTTACAGTTACACTTTAGAGACATCAGAATTTTTTCTCAATTGCTCATTTTACTTATTTACCTGATATTCATGTTTCATTTTCTTTCTTTTTTCTACCTAGAAATGGTTTATTTTTCAAATTTTAGTTGGGCGCTGTTGAAGTTTAGAAATCACATTCATTAGATAAATTTACTTGATTGATTGAACATACTTAAGTATTTAAATATTTATTCTTTCCAGAAAAAAACAGGGTGGTATATATTAAAAGCACCCACAAATTTAAAATCAGAAATCTGGCAGAAATTTCACATGGTTTTTCAAAAAAAGGAAAATGATGAAAGCGAAATTCCTGTGAATTACTATTGTGCTTGTATTAAGTGCAATAAGGTATATCAGTTTAAAGATTCATCAGGTAAAAACTTTGGCACTAAAAATCAGCAAGAACATATTAAACATTGTGCTGTAGTCTTGCCAAAGTCACAGTTGAAAATCCAGCAATGCTTGAAACGAAAAATTCAACTGTCTCCTCAAGAATTAATGATGTTGAAGCATAGACAGATCTTTTTCTGTGTTGATGGTTACCACTCATTCAAATTTGTTGAAAATAAAGGGCTTCTCAATTTGATGCAGAGCTGTGTTGAGTTAGGTGCCAAATATGGAAAGTTTGATGTTTCTGACGTTGTTGTGGGAAAATATTAGTAACATTTAATTTTTATTTAATTTTCATGTTATTTTATTACACT